GCACCTCATGGAAGTCGACGGGAATGAAATCGCAATTATTGAATGATTCGGTTTTGATTTTATTGATTTGATTCTTCTCTCCGAATATGTAAAGAACCGCTCGATTTAGGTTTGGCTGAGAATCAGACGACGAAGAAGTGGGCGAATCGGTTGGACAACTCATTCGTTGCTTATCCTTAATGCTTGTGTTCGACCACTTCTGAAATTGTTTGCCCATTTGGGAACCAATGGCTGATTTTCCTCCAGAGTTTCTCAATGTATTCATCGCCCGATGGAATGCGGCGGAAGTGCCGCCACTTATGGCCCGTCGAGTGCTTTCCGGTGTCGTTATGGATATATCGCGCGGATTGAGAATAGAGTTGACGCTAAGAGTGGATCCGTTCTCTAGTATACGGTTTTGATGTCTTGTAAAACAGGAAGGCGTCACTCTTACGATCCCTGATATGAACTTTTCGTTCTCGATGTTTGTCGACGTTTCGGACGAGTGAACGGCGCCGCCGGACGACTGGCCCTTCAGCAGACCGATGACACCCTTGCCGTGAAAACAACTGCCTCTGAGTAGCAGTGCTTTAGTGCGCGGATGTTTCCAAGTGATGGCTGGGAAGCGATAGTGTCTATAGAAGCGACTCATGCGTCGGATGGCCTCATCGCTGGTACTGTAGGGCACGACTATGAGTCCCGGATAGCTCTTTGTGACCGAATAGTTGGCGTTCACGGCTGAGATGCGGAAGCTCTCGATCACTGTATTAGATCGCGAGAGCTTTGTTGTCGAGGCGTTCAAACTGTAATAACTGGCGATCGAACCCAAGCCTAGTCTCTGGTAGTCTTTAACATAAGACAGTTCTTGCAATTTATCGAGTGTTTTGCTGTCGTTATTGGCGTTCATGTGATTTAACACAATGTGTTGCGACGACGAAGACATTTGAAGAGTACTCGTCGTGTGAATACTTGAAAGCGATTCGCTGTCAACAGACTTGTGGTCTTCAGTCATATCTGAGTTGATACCCTTCTTGGGAGAGCCCATCGTTTTGGCCATTCCTGGTATGAAACCGGAAGAGTCGGTAATGTATTTGTTTTTGCGGTTATTCTTTGGTTTAAATCCAGCCCTTTGTGCGGTTCTCAAGAGTGTCTTCTTTGCCAACCCCTTGAACGTGGAGTTCTTCTCCTTATTCTTCTGGAGGTGAAGGAGTCTGGTCTGAGCCATACTTAGTTGGGAAGTGAATGTAAACAAGTGGAAAATAGTGGGCGGCGTTCGCTCTCTATTAATACATTTGCGGAAATTCTCGATCTCGTCGGACGAGACCTCTTCGTCGAAGGCGACGCGGATTAACTGAAACGTATTGGACCGGAGCTGAAGGCCTTCCTGCAGGAACTGGTCGATGGATGTGATGGACTGAATGCTAATTCGTTTCTCTTTAGTGAGTGTTGCGATCGGAAAACTGCGGACAACAACCGATTCGGATGCGAACGGATCGCACGGACGACCTTTGAATATAATTCGATAGTTAGAGACAAATATAGCGCCTTCGGTGGGCAACAGTTGTGTGCCGAACGGCACTCCGCACTGCCCCTCATCGCGACCGTCGTGTATGAGATACGCCCGAAGGCCAGGGAGTGTGAGTTCTTCGCCCACCAATAGGTTAGGTGTCGTGATCTTAGGCTTAGTGATGGGCGGCAAGCGTTTGCTTTCGCGCCAAACCGACTCAAGACTTTCCATTTGCATGTAAACCAATTGGGGAATCATTTGATGCAATTGTTTGATGTGCTCCTCATTCACACTGCTATCGGTACACACTTTGTCGGCAAAACGGGTCACAAACTTAATAACATTTGCGGCTATTTCCGAGTGACTGATACTATGCGAGTGATGATTGTCTTCTTCAAAGCCAGATTCGTTGTCGTTATTGTTAGAACCGTTAGAACCGCTGCCGTCATAAGCGTTAGAATTGGTTAGGTTTGAGATCGAGGTGTTATCACTTTCTGACGAGCCCTTGAAAGTCTTGTGCGCGGCATCTAATGGCACTCTCATGGCTACCATTCGGTCCGCGTAACGAATCACTTGTGCGAAGACCACTGAGTTCTCGTCGATGACCAGCGTTTCCAACCTCTCGGGAGTCAATTGCGGTCCTAATCTCATTTGTTCGGCCGCTATCTCTAACGCAGACAATTCAAGACTTTGTTGTAAATTTGACGCCCGTTTCAAATCGGTTGCACTGTTTCTCGCATTCACATCAGTCGACTCCTCTGGTGGCGATTCTTCGCTCTTTTTGTATAAGTTTTTCACTTGTTTTTCGACATCAGAATAGAAGGTCTGTTCCCAGAACTGAGGGTTAGACCAAACGGCGTGGTCTTGAATGCAAGTGTAGGCAAATTGGGTCACATTTATGCATAGTTTGCGACAGAAGGCCTCCGCCAGCGGCAACATATGGGCCGCCACTCCGTTCACATCGAGATGCGAGTCGTCCTGAAGAGCGCAGTTCATGAGACGGACAATGAGGTCGAACTGTTGGTGTTCTAACACAGCCTTATNAATTAATACAATTGCGCATCACTTCCAGCCTTCGGGCAGAATTAGTGATGATATCGTTGGCACCAAATATATCATTGACCGCTGAGATGGGTGTTCCCATCGGCACTATTCTAACGTTCATATTCTTATTGCTGAGACGTCTGGTGATTGTCATCTCCTTTTTGATCTGTTCGTTATCAACCAATTCCTGAACCGTTTCGGCGTTCAGTGTGGGAAAGGGAGGCAAATGAATGCGAGTGAACGCCCCGTCGGTCGGTAACGGGATTTTCGACGACTGGTTCTGTGGGTTCGGGTTTTCATTGGTATAGAATTGTTGCGCTAAGTCTCGGATGTGTTGCAAAACCAAATCCGGATTTCTTGCCTCTTCTTTGAACAAAGTTTGAAGCGTTGAATATAACTAAGAATATAATGGTTAGCATTTGGTCTAAAGTGAAACACGTGTTAATAATTACTTCATCAAAGAGATCACATTGTCTGTATGGAAGTCCCCTTTCCTGAACAAATGTTACGAAAAACATACAGTCGAGTAAACGGACAACAAATTCATTTTCAACAAAATTCCTTTGACCCAAAAATGAGGCCTAAAATTAATGTTTAAAAAATTAATTTTTATAAAATAAACAAATGGTTTATTAATTACTTTATGAAAAGTAATGATTGGTTTCGGATGAATGCGTGTAATTGTAAGACATGATCGGTAGCCCTGAAGTATTTGAGTAAATGTCCGCAAAAATATGGCTCTAATTTCTTTGTCCTAAAAATAAACATAACTTTAGATAAAATATTGAATCAAAAGAAACGGTCAATAATTACAAGGAATTGAGGGGTCGATGGCTTATAAAGACTAGAAGGGAATGCATCGTCCGCTTGTATGAGTTGCGGACGAATTACATGACATAAATGAGTAATTAATTGAGAATTTAAAGGCTCGTCAAAAACGGGCACTCGTAGGCAATCCGGTATCGTTACTGAACCGCCGTCTAAATCCACTACTATTACATCCAACTGTCAAACAGATATAAAATGAATCAAAATGAATGAATTGTAAATAAAATACATTATTTATAAGAATAAATTACAAGATCTGTGACTTCGTTCTTCAGCGACGAGTGAATACCCATCAGAAATGGTGTCGGAGTTGACAGGACTTCGAGTAAAGGCGACGGCAGAATCGGAATGTATATATGATTGTAAACAAACGGATACATGAGTGCAGTGACCGCGAGACAGGCGTCCGTTAAACGGGTGTACGAACGCGAGTGAAAGAGGATCTTATGCTCAGTCATCGCCGCACAGACCAGATTCACGACCGAATGAATGCCCAACTCTTCAAACAAGTTATAAACCGTAGTGTTTGTGACCGGAATGGTTGGGCTCAGAGGGGGCTGAAGGAACTGACGGTCGTTCGCGCCGATTGAGAATCGTATCTGAGGTCCGCCTGAAGATGGCATTTGTGTGTTTAGCACGTGATATACAGTATTCAATACACGGATCAATACCTGGTTGCGGGACATCAACGCAGGCGAGGATATTGCTTACTATCGTCTCCAATGAGAAGTCCATATTATCGATATATACAGTGTATATGATTGTCAAACAGTTCTGCCATTTCATAACAAACGTAAACATGAGATAAACATATCAATGATTAACAGATGACAAGACATGATATCATCAATTTTGTGGATCAATTGTGCGATACCTTTAAGGCTTCTTTGTAATTGAAACGGGAGACCAAAACGAGACATTTGGTGGAATACATGATGGAGTGGTGCTGAACACCAGTGCATAAGGCGGTGGTCGAGCCCTCCATCGATGTGATGGACTCGTCGTCGATGTCTTCGTCGTCGTGTTTAGTCGGATGGATAGCAATGGGTTCGTTGAATGCAAGACACGCACAGTAGTGGCGGTTGGCGTCGATGTCCGTCAACACGAACGTGAAGAATGACGGCTGTTGTCGGGCCGAAGACAGCCGCCATCGAACCGGTTGGCAGAACTGGAACCACAACAAGACATAGCATTACATCATAACATAATCGCAACCATCATATGGTGTCTCAACCAAACACTGTCCTCAAGAGTACATCACTGATGAGGAAGTGTTGGTCCGTTTCATACCATTTCGATGGAGTCGATGAACGGCGAGTCCTCCCAATCCTTGTGCGGAAACCTCTGCAGTATTTTGCCATTACTTGGACTCTGTTTGTGGTCATCGAAGCCGACGACAACGAAATAGTCGGCCAAACGGCACATCATTTTGGGTGTGAAGACAAACACCACTGAATCACAAGCTGTTTGTGTTGTGTTTTGCCTTCACTTCAAACGCGACTGAATGACAGCCATATCTCAGATGACGTCACACTCTGTTTGCTCTCAATTGTAAACAAATAGACATTCAATACATACAAAACGTATCACTTTTTGGCCATTCATTAGTCAAACGCTTTGTCTTTGACTCCCATTTCAAGCGTTAATTGCATTCAATTTATTCATTCATTCAATACAATCAAAGTATGTATTTATGACACAATCACTGCTCGTAATTAAAACACACATTCATTCACTTTAATGTCTACTTTCAATGACTCGTGTTTTAAGGGCGCTATAAATGCACACAAATATTGAGACCAAAAACTTTGTGTTTCTGTCATTTCATTCAAAATAATTATACTTTTGACTATAATTTGCATACAATTAAGACATTAGTTAGCATTTGTGCGGTCAGTGTGTGATCTTTACGATTATATTACACTATAGTTAATACAAATCATAAGTTTCTATACAATTGTAAGACAAAATCGATACTCAATTCAATACAAAATGAATTGATTTTCAAAAATCAATGCATTTTCGCATTCAATGAGAAAAAGGCGGCAAAAGTGATGAGCGTTTTGTGTGTAATAATCGACACGTGATTACTGTGTGAACCAAACACTGGTTTCTATGGCAACGAGCGGTCAAATAGTGTCGCCATTTAATAATACATTGAACTCATGAATGGTTTGTATTGAATGAGTGGTTGTGTTGTCTGCAAAGTGTCTGCCGTTTTGGACATCCATTGAGTCGCCTGTGGTTTGGGATCCGTTGCGGTGATCGCGTGTATGCGTGTGTCGGCCAGTGTTGGCCCAGTAGTGGCCACAAGTGAGTGACAGTGAGTGCGCGGACACAACGACAGCAAAAGCAATGGACAAAGAGTTGAGTCCAATAATGGGCTCGTCTTCGCGTCGGGACACCAAACGCTTGTCCTCCGCGTTGAGCGCCGGTTACGGCACGACTACGAAGACCTCGTCGTCGACCACGTCGTCGATGTCATCGTTTGACGACTCGTCCAATACGTGGGACTGCAGTGTCTGCACGTATCGCAACAGTTACGAGGCCTTCAAGTGTCTCATGTGTGACGTCCGGAAGGGGACGTCCACTCGTAAGCCGCGGATCAATCCGGAAATGGTTGCCCAACAGGTGGCCCGACAACAGGAACAGATCAAACAGCAGGCCATCAAAGCCGTCAAAACCAAGGATAAGGATAAGCCCGACAAAGACCGGCGCAAAGACGACAACAACTCCTCGTCGCTCATGAATAGTCCGTCTTCTAGTGGTGTCAACACATCCAGTGGTGACAGCAATGGCTTCAGTAGTTGTAGTAATAATACCAATAATAATAGTTTTAATTCAAGTAATAATAATATAAAAACTGAGTTTAAAGACTCGTTGATCACTAATAATAACAGTAATAACAATAACAATACAAATAGCAAAACGAGTGCTAATAGTAGTAAAGCAGTGATTAATAGCAATTCGTCGCCGTCTGGGGGCCGGCGGTCGATGAGTCCGACCCCAACGCCGACCACAACCTCTGCGCCCAACACATCGACGCCCGCCGTGAAGGTGAAGAAGCCGAGGACTATCGGCGCCAAAGCGAAGCTCAAGAATGTGGACCGAAGTAATGCACACGTGAAGGAAGTGACTGTCAATAACGTTACGGTTATTATCACTGAATTTACGCCCAAAAAGATGAAAATGTCCTCAAAAGGGGACAAACACTCGACGAACGAGAGTTGGGATCCGATTAAGACGAAGAAGAGTGACGAGAAGAGTAGTCGCAAGTCTTCTACTGATGATAATAAGAGTAGTAATAGTAATAAGAAAAGCGACAAAAGTGAGGAAAAGATGAGAAAAAGTGACACTAAAAAGCATTCATCCGATGAAACTCCCAAAAAGTCATCAGAAGAGCACCAAAAGAGTGGTAAGAATACGGATGAGAGCACTTCGCACAAGAGTTCGGGCAAAAAGGGTGACGAAAATCGTGGCAAACATTCGTCTGACGAAAGCGTTTCGCCGAATAAGAAGTCCGACAAAAAAAGTGACGAAAAACTGTCAAAAAGTCCTAAAAAGTCTAATGAAAACTCAAAGTCTCACTCATCTTAACATTTGTCTCCATAAACATTATCCTATATTTAACTCAATTATAATTAGATTTAGTAATAGTTTTTTGATTTCAATCCACATTTGTATTGAAAACAAACAAAGTTTAACAAAAACAACAATCGATTTTTATATACATTTAATTATTTATTATTTTTACACTTTAAATGTCATTTGAGTTTCGATTAGTTTAATCATTTAATTAATTTATACATTGAAAAGAGTCTTAGTATTAGAATTTAAGGCAACGATAGGACACTAAATAAAAAATACAGTTTAATTATATAATTATTTATTTATTGTTTTACTTGTGGCCAACAAAACAAAGACAACCAAAGTGTTTGTTAATGTGTTGGAAAAAAATGTTTTAAAAAACATTAAATTTCTAGTTTATGAAAGTGTTGAGAACATACGATACGAGTGCTGCCCAAAGCGTGTGCATACGGTCTGACCGCCGCATGCGTTCTGCCCGGCCCTCAACCTAACAGTATGTGTGTCTCCATAGAGTTGTGTCGAGTTTTTTAAATAATTCAAT